CAACTTTGGTATTACTTGATATTCATCAAGTTCATAGGAACACTTTATAAATGCATTCCATATTTGAATACAAACTTTTAATTAGCTGCAACTTTCATGATAAACCTTGCCCGCCTAGAACAAGATCAAAAAAAAAAAAAAAGAAAAGAGGATAGAACAGAACAGAAATATACGCAGGGTAAAAAAAGGAGGAGCAGTAATGTGGCTTCGCTATTCGAAACCTAGCATTCCCAAAAACGTTCTCGAGGCTTTCCTATCTAAAGAGGGAAAAAGATCACCGCTAGAGGTCGTGGTTGAGTTCCGAGGAAAGATTCGAGGTGGTACAACGAAGCGGCGGTAGAATCCATGGGCGTGCTTCGACCATTTTCTTCGCGTGAAACTGCACGAACGGCCGCAAACCATCTCTCTCCCTCGAGGAGCACTCGACTATTTTAACCGTGAAATAACTCAGTCGAGGAGGGTTCGGTCGGGGAGGGAGTGGAAAAGGAAGAAAAAGAGGGATCGTGGGGACGGTGAGGGGAGGGATGCGGCATGATATGTGGGTCCTAAAGATAGAGCACCCGAAACAACCATAAACCTTTTTATTCCACTTGCCCTGGCCCCGACGATCCCTCTATCTGTCTCTCGTTCGCCGCTTAAGTGTACACGTGGGTTACATTTTTTTTTTTTTTTTTTTTTTTAATTTGAAAAATAATTTTTCCAGGGATGGAAATAAGGATATTGTTTTTAATTCTTTCGATTGAATATTCTTTCATTTCATTTTGTGCAGACTTGAGGGTGAATACAAATTATGAAATACAATTAAAGTAATAAAAGTATTAAAATAAATACAATTAAAAGTATTGGTATTTGAAAAGTGAAAACGAATTTCTGTTTGAATTTGTGACAAAATGTAAAAAAAAAAAAAGAAAGGAATTTAGAAATTTAATTAAGCTTCTTATTCAAAAAAGAATCTGAACATCAGACAATTTATAATGTAAAATAATTTTCTGATTCTCATTTTATGGATAATCAATTCTTCATTGTTTTCCTTTTCTTTCTGAATTTTATTTTTAACATTAGAGGATAGAGACAGAGTACAGAGTAATTATGGACTGTTTTAACCTGTTAACTAGGTCGTTTCTTAAGTGGAAAATCCCTTTTTAACGGTGCATTAAAGAATTATAAAGAAGGATTAATTTGTCTTGGCCATTGCAAATATGGATTCGAGAATGTATTTTTAATTTGGATACAACATGATGAGAGGATTCGGCGAGATCTCTGAGATATTGAATCGGTGAGTTTAACGTGGAATAGGACGATTTACATCGGGGTTTATTCCCTCCACAGATTCGTTAATATTTGAAATTACGATTTTCCTTTGCGTTTTATAATTTCGAAGGATTGAATGGAAGAAGAAAATTTAGAACAACAATGCCAATGTTACGGTAAAATTTAGCTATGAATAGCTATTTATTACAATAATATATTAGTTTAAAAAAAAAATGAAATCTATATTAATATTCAAAATCGATGCAATAAAAATAGCATAGATTTGCAAAAATAAAAAAAAATCTCCAGATCTCGTTGCACGTGTTATAATGATATTTTTTTAAATTTAAAATAAATAAATAATAGATGAAGAAACTGTATGTAACTGTATGTTTTTTACAAAATGATAAAATTTCCAAAATAAAAATTGAATCGTGAACTTAATTTGCATTTTATTGCATCTCCATCCTATAGTATAATATAATGAAATCTCCAACTTGAGAGAAACGTATCTAGTGTGAAGCATAATAAAAAAAGTGAAAAAAATGTAAAAAAAAAAGAAAGGAAGAAAGGAAGAAAGAAAGAAGAAAAATCCTCTTTTTAGAAACAGAATACATACCCGCATCGTATCAAAAGACTGAAATAACCAAGAGAAAAGATTATATAGACTAA